GAGGCAGAATTTGAATTCTTCGGACGGGCAGAAAGGGGATCGCGAATGGAGCGGTTTCAGATATAAAATCAGATTGATAACTTGATGTATGGGCTAAATTGAGACCATAGTTGGAGTCAGTAGGACATGGGCAGTCGAACGGTGGTTGTCCGCGAACAAGGTATTGGCCGGAGGAGACTATTCCGACGGTTTTTACAGTTTCAGGTAGCTGGTTTTCTGGGTTGATTTCAGCCGTATTACTGGATGATTTTGGGAAATGTTGGGTGGATATTGTAGAAGATGTTAAGGGCAATCCATTGGGACCAATTTCCGGCGGTTTTGGGGGCCGGACGGTAGCGGAAAATGGATTCATAGGCGGTGCTAAAGAGTAGGTTAAAATGGAAGCGGAACCAAAATGGGGCGGAATGAACGGAGTGAGGCGTGAATTAGTTAAGGTTTTGGGTTATTTTTGGTTCCGCATATAATTTAATTTGGGAAAAAAACTTTTCACAACGTTGATCGAACGTTGCGAAAGGTTAGACTTTTCGCAACGTTGATCGAACGTTGCGAAAGGTGAGACTTTTCGCAACGTTTGATAATTGTTGTTAAAGGTAAAATCTTTCGCAACACTCAATAAACGTTGCTGAAGGTATCTACCATAACATTTTTCTAAAAAACGTTGCCAAAACTTATTTATTAGTACCAATGGCAACATTCACCTACTAAAATGTTGCCAAAAGACCATTTTGGCAACATTTGGCAAATGTTGCCTTTTTAATGTTGCAAATGACCATTTTTGTTGTAGTGGTTGAAATATTGGGCCCAATTGTTAGGTTTTGATTTATTTTTGTTTTGTTTAATAGAGTACATGTGCGATATTTTTGCCCAAGAAGACATAATTATAGGCATTTGAAGTGTCGGGTTTGAGTGTTGGGTTGTGATTTATTTATTTTTTCTTTTATTGAAGAGTACGCGTGCATTATTTTATTTCAAGTACAAATAATATGTAGTTTTGTGTTCGTATTTCTTTCTTGTACCATGTTTGCCAAAAAATTATAGATTGCTTTTGTCGTTTGGGATTCTTTAATTTGTGTCCATGAATTAATAGAGGGCGGTATGAATTTTGTGAATCAGGTAACATAATGTCTTTAAAGGTTGAAATATTTGTGGATTGCATGAATGTGGATAATGGGTTGGTGTGCTCAGTTGGGTTGTGTAGAGTGAAATTTTGAATGACATGCTCGATTGTTGAAGCTCTATGAAGTTGAATTTGGCCTCGATAGATCATCTCTATAGTGCAATTTTGAATTGTCTGCCTCGACAATCCAAACACTACACCAAAAAACACATTTTGCAGCGGCCAAAAAATGTTGCAGTAGACCGTTTATAGCATTTTAGAGTGTTGCGGAGGCCGGTGTTGCCATTGAGGGAAGACTT